ATTTGCTGTCACTTGGAACACCATTTTCGTGCTACAGGCACCGAGAGAAGGGGCCACCCAATTTTTCTCCAAAAAAGGAAATCTCCTTTTTTGTAATAATTTTTAAAAGCTCATGTAAACGTTTGGGAAGAGATATGATCCATCCATATGGCGCAGTTCTTTAATTCGCCTGAAATAGTTACAAAGTAGTCGTGCTGCATATTGGAATATTTGCATCAAACTCAATTAGACACTTGGTGCAATTGGAAGAAAACTATAACGATTTGGCTATGGTCTTTGAGGAAGTCAACTATCAAGAATATCATTGGAATCCCCGGCAAAAAAACACGATTTTGGTTATACATAAAAAAAAAAAAAGTCTAATTACCATTTCTTCATATTAATTTAGGATTCATGAGGCAGTTCGTAAAATTACTGCCAAAAGGTGGGGAATACTCCATATATTTGTGTTCCAAGTTTTCAAAACTCTTTGAAGTCAAGTTGAAAGAGGGGGTTTTTACTAGTTTTGGCATACAGAAATTGTTATTTGACCCCCTTTTCTTAAAAAAAGTAGAAAAAAAGAAAAAGAAGCTTGGAACCTCTTTAAAGACTTAGTGTACGAGTTTTTGGTAAAAATTAAGGCCTCTCTACAAAACCATGCACAAAGAATGTTGGCTGCATACAGAGCTCAAGGTTGCGGATGAGCCAAAAAGTTCATTTCTTACACTCCCATGCCAACTATGTTCCCGAAAACTTGGAGGCCTACAGAGAAGAACAGGGTGAACGATTTCACTAGGATCTGCGTGAAATCAAAAGACGCTACTAAGGAAGATGGTATGCTAATATGCTAGCTGAGTACGGCTGGACGATCAAGCGAAAGACGGAGATTGGAAAGGGGAAGCGTGTCATGCGTGTTCCAAGGAACATCAAGGAGAAGAAGAAAAGGTTTTACAGGCTAAAAGAGTGAACACAGAATGTTAAATTTATCAAGAAGAAATTTTTTATATAATATAAGGAATAATATGTATAGTTCAAAGTACTACAAGAGTGATTTATTTCATTTTCTGTTATGATTTTTTACGGTAAATTCCTTTTGTTTTGCTAAAAACCTAATATGATAGGAGGAAATGGAGGTCATTTTGGATTCAGCATCCTAGAAAACATAAATTTTACTGAAAATTTTCATGCGGCTGGAAAATTTTTTTTTTTTTGAAATACTGTGTTATTGAACAAGTTGCATCTAAATTTTATATTGTCCATTAGACAAGTCTAAAGTACCAATTTCCTAGCAGCGTTGCAGTCTAGTTGGCTCATTACCACACATCGCTAATAAGTACACGGACGAATATTACTTACACGACTTCATTGTTAACAAAGTTTTTACACTGCAGTAATGAAGAACAAATGAAGGATGCAAAAAGCACACTACAAGCTCTCGCTAACCTCATAGCTTGGCTACTGTATGCCGACAGCCCTATCTTATGGTCTTCTACTTACACAAAACTAAAAATTAACAAATAATATTGTCACGCTGTATATATTGTCTTAAGCAAAGTTTTATCAAACACCATTGCTATAAAAAATATAATTAGTGAACTCCTTCCTAACTTTAACATCAAAATAAGAAGTTATACTGATAATAAATCCGTATGAAATATCTAAAAAGATACTTCAAATAAGCGTATATGACATATTGATATTGCTTATCACTATGTCCAACAAGGTTAACAAAGGGAAATTTGTTCACTAAACACAGTACGTGACACCAAACTTAGCTGCCATGCTAACGAAGTCATTATTAATACAGAAACATGGCAGTCTCATAACTTTTTAGAAGTAATTAATTTGCAGTCACAATACCCTAAAAGATTATAAAATGTCCTGAACATTATAAAAAGCCTTAATTTAGATAAGCAGCCCTCATTTCCTTTTTATATGGTTTTCTTCTCGTTATATTCTGTTAAATAACAACCGAAACAAGGAGACGCCACTAAACAAAATATTTTATATACGTTTTTCTCAGTTTTGGGTACTTCTACATCTTTTTCCTAAGAATCCATCAATTTTTCAGTAAGTACTAGGTTTTGTTTGGTAAAGTTTTAATTTCCAAAAAAATATAGTAGTAGAAATATCTTGGAAAATTTTAAGGGAAACTTCTAATTTTAAGCTAAGATTGTATTTAAATTAAAGTGGAGATGCCCCCTTTCTTATTTTAAACCTGAACTATGAGTATGAAAGTTTTTAACCTTTTAGTTTTACTTGTTTAAACCTCTTTAGCGCCCCTTAACCTTGTAGGATATGCGCCTTAATATGCTACACCGGAGTGTCATTGAAAGTCTCAAGAAAAATATGACTATACTGGTAGACGCGCTACAATCGATTTATTATAAGGTCTTAAACCACTCAGTTCAAGTTCCTCTCCAAAGGACTGAGAAAAAGTGGAGAACTAACGTGCTTAGGCCTCCCTCTCCCACCTCCCAATTCGGTCTAGTTGGTGCTGGTGTTAACCATCTGCGTTTATTAATATAGTATGCCCGTAAATATAAACATAGATGGTATCTTTGCCAGCTCTAAAGAATGTCGAGGCAGTGGAATTTCCCTATGCATGGCAACCCAAACAGGAGTATGAGACCGCTGTCTACAAATCCTCTTGGAAGCTACTAGCACCTTCCTATATGAACTCCATGCCATCTTTGCGAGGGACTCCTCTGTTTTTTTGCACAATTGCAAGCATCCTTCATGGAACAGCCGGGTCATAAATTCGAATGACCAAACTCTTGAAGCCCATGCTGAGGAGCAAAGGCTCTGAATACTAGGCTTCCAACGACCAACATACTTGGCGGCTACAGGGCGTACTAAATACGCCATACTAAGAAATATACTCCTCTCAACGGCAATCGAAGCGCTCTACAAGGTGTCCTTCGAATACCTTCCAGTTATTTTTGAATAGGGCGACGAGAACGACACACCGAAGACTATCACCCGCTTTTTTACCAACTGGGACAGGTATTCTGAGTTCTTAGAAATCATTCTTTCGCTGTTTCCATCATACCGTTTAATTTGCCCTGCTGAATGATCCTCTTGCTTACTTCGAAAGCGCACTGAACATGGCTCACACCACTGCCATGGCAAATCGAGAAGTAATGTGTGCCGCCCCAATCCCCTGTCTAACAAACAAAAGGCGCTTATCTGCCAACGTTGGCGTGTTATCCGAGTTGCCATGTTCTCAGAGAGTGCTGGAGACGAACTTGCGCTTATTCAAGTGCACAGGTCTCAAGAAAGAAGCTAACGGCCCATTTTAACAAGAAATGGGAGGCAACTCCGAACCATATATAAGAATCGAGACAGCAGAAGCCATTTTTCCTTTAAAATTAATCTTGGCTTGCTCCAATACTGCCCTTTAGAGAAGGAAATATATGGCCGAGAGTAAAGAGATACAGCTTTGCTTTTCGCTAATCCTTGCTGCCTAAAATCTGTTAACTGTGGTAAACCGCAATGTTGATATAAAACATTGTGAATACTATATACTAATGCTCATAGATTTAGTAGTGGGCGTGAATTTTGTTAATTTTTTTTAATGAGTTTGGTTAAGTGGTCACCTTGTTGTCCATCGAAAACGGGAAAGGAATTTATTCTATTGGGGCTTAAATTCAGCCATTACACATAAGGTATCATCAGAGAAATATAATAATTATAGCTTTTTTTTAAAACTGTGTTACTAAATGCCCCTAGTTCTGTTTGCCAGTATGCACAGTAAGTTAAGTAAAATCCTCCAGATGCACGGGTTAAATCGTAGTTTACAAGCCAGAGATCGTAACATTTTAAAGATTGCACTGCTCTAAAGAAATTTTTATAGGCAGTTATTTAGCAGAAATTTTGATAATTTTGGTAAAACTGTTATTTAATGTGCTCCCGTTTTCTAAATTAAGTAGCATGGACTTCTTAAGTTTAAAAAGAAAAAATAAGTATTTATTACCTATAAGCCACTACTTTTAAGGTGTTTAGATTTCAACAAGATAACTAAAGCTGTGTTGGTGTGGACGTCTTCTGCTGGACCCTGATTCTATTATCAAAAAAGATCTTATTATAAGGTTTTAAGCGTGTTGACTTTACATTCCAAAAGAGTACAAAGTATGTAAAATGTCGGTTCCGGTTTAAAAAATATTATAAACTAATTCTTTAACTTATATAAAGCTAGATTTTAGCATTGTATGATCAAAAACTGTATTAAAAACTTATGCGAAGCTTTTTTAATTTGCTTCCTTATAAAGACGGCAATTACACAAATATAGTTAATTTAGTTTTGTTTAAAAGTTGTTAGGGCTTCAAAACAATAATACTTTACTGGTTCTTAAAAGGAGCACTCTAATTTTGTGTAGTGGAAATATTAGAAATTGTATTTAAATTAATCACAACATATACTATTTTATTAACTGCTTATCATGCGCTCCCTTAGCTAAGCTTACCCCTCCCCTATGTCTACGAACCACTTAAGCATATTATTTGTCTTTTCACCGTACGAAGCTACATTAATTTTTGAAACAGTTTTTACTCAAAAAGTAGTGGCCCTCACGTAAGCCTATTTGGCCAGGGTAGAGATACAAAGCTTGTAGGATGGGAGCATAGAGGGTTTCGGCGAATATATATAACCCAAAATAAAATGTTCGTTTTTAATCGTGAAATATACAATAGTTGAGCTCTTAAATTTTACTTTTTGTATTATAAAAAATATTATAATTATGGGAGACTACATTATTTTGGTTTAACTTAACAACCATCATTTGACTATTCATATCTATACAAAGGTCTAGGTTTGTTTCCCCCCTTTTTTTAAATCTTAAAAAAAAGAGAGAAATTCTCGCTTCCACCACTATTTTGAATATAATAAAAAAATACTCTTGAAAATAAAGCTTCAAAGCCATGTGTAGAAAATAAAGGTTTGAAGTTATTACATATACAACCTCAGCAAAATTTGGGATAAAACGAAACCAATCATAACCTAATGAAATTTGTTGCAGGAAGGGATGAGGCTCTCCTTTTTTGGTTTTTTCACTTTTTTTTTGGTCCCAGAGTACAGTTGTAGTAAATTCTTTGAGATATTCTTTTAAATTATATTATAGAAACCCTCTTATTTTGGGCTATACAGTCGAACCTTCTTTACATTAACTTAATTTTTTTAAACAGATATTCGAGATAAAGTTTACGTACAAAAAATTCGAATGATATTTATTTTATAGTTTATTTTTTTTTATTGAGATACCCACTACTTAATAGTTTTAATAATATACATAGTTTTGTGCGCCATCTCCTTATGTTTTTCTGTGGGTGTTATTTTGGTTTTTTTGGCTTGTGGGCTCCCTAATTATGGGTACTTTTTATTTTATATGTATATTTTTAATATCTTTTAGCTATTCACTTTTTTTTTACTCAGAAATTGGTCTCCAGTATCTGTATGTAAGTAATTTAAAAAAAATTAGAAACCTTTTTTTTAATAATATTATTATATAAGTTGTTCTTCATATTATCTCTCCCTTGCCTTTGTTGATAAACCAACATAAATCGGATCACTTGGACGATGATGACTTGTAATACTTTTTTGACCACACATATATTATAAATACTTTTAACCTATATTATAATGTAACATATATTATGAGTTCGTTGAAAATTATAAAATAACTTTTATTAAAGCTATAATAGTACATAGAAGTTTTGCGTTTACTTAATTACATAATCAAAATTTTCGAATAAGTTTAAATTTTATTTGGTTTTACAAATTTCTCTTAAACTATTAATTTTTAATTTTAAAAATATTTTTGTTAGTAATTTGTTATCTATAGTAAAAAAATAATATTGATTTATAAATAGAAGTAAAATATTAGTACTTTGCTAAATTTTTAATAATAATTTTAATTTAAAAATCCCTTTACAGTTTAGCCGTCTGGTTTCTATACAGCTATTTTGAAAATGTTAACTTTTCTGCTTGGCAACTTATATTTATTTAAAAATATATCGTAAATTAGGTTTTTGTAATCTTTACACGAAGTAAAATTTTTTCTACTATAAAAGGACCCCTCCGAATAATTTAATCAATTTTATAAAACTAATAAATTGTCAATTCTTACACCTTCGGATTATTTTTTTAAATTTAGTTTATATATGTGGCAAATAGCTAGCTTTCTTTACGGTGACCTTAATATCTACCGACAATATATTTACGAAGGATAGACAATATTATATCTAATTACTTTTTTATTATTTAAATAAAATTTAAATACTTTGATAAATTTTTAAACTACTGAAAGAGTCATCTATATTTTTTTAATTTATTTAATATTATATGAGATAAATACTTTATCAATAAAGTTTGATTTGACTTTATATAAATGATGTATATCTTTTAACTAGTTCTCAACTAAAAATTTAGGCTCATTTTTTTAACTTTAATAATTTAATAACAGTACTTTATATATTTTAAACCAAGAAACTTGCCTGCAAAGAGAAGCTTAGCTGTTACCAAAATATAACTTCTTTAAGAATATAAAATATATATAAAACTGTTTTTAAGTAACTACTATGTATCAGAGTGTGGTTTATTAGTTAGTTATTATATAGTTAACTCAGTCCTTTAATTTTGTTTTCATGCATTTCTCTTTAGTTAATGACTTTATAAAAAGTTTTTTTTTAAGCAAGAGTCTAGAGTTAAGTACCTTCTGCTCCTCGTTTCTAGCGACTTCCAGTTTCGGTTGGTATAGACTTGTTTTTTTTTATATAATTCCCAATATATCTAATCCTTTTTTTATTTATTAAATTTAAATATTTTATAGTGCCTAACTAGCTTTAGTTGTCGATTATGTTTTAATACTCTTAAATTATGCCCTTTTTAAATTCTTTTTGTAAGTTCACGAGCTTTGTTCTAATAAATAATGCGTTATTATAAACTATTTTTAAAACTAAAAGCAAGAAAGAAGCTTTGAACCACTGCTGAAGTGTGATTTTGTTTAATGTAATAAAAGTTGCCCACTTTTCTAAGTAGAACTTTTGGCAGCCTCCATTTTTAAACTTTTATACGTATAAATTAATTATAAATATAAAATAATAAAGGTAATACCACATTTTTACGTGAAGCGTTTTAAGAAATTGCTTTATATAATTTTATAAGTGTAAAGTTCTTTTTATAATTTAACTTCTACATGTTCTTTTTTTTGGTTAGATTGATATTGTAATAAGAAATTTTTTTATTGTAAAATAAAAGTTTATTTTTAAAATAATTTTTCGGAGAAACTATTATTTCTTATTTTTTTCCTTTAAATAATAGTTATTACTTCAAATATTATCATGTTTTTAATTATTTTTAATAATAACTTTAATTTTTAATTTATAAAACTAATTTAAATTTATTTTTTTATGAAACACTTAACAAGGCCTTCCAATCATATTGGCTCATTCGCACTTCGTAATTATTATTATTATATTTTATTCTTTTCTATATTTACTGATTGTTTTTCTTTTTTCTTATATAAGCAAAATTTAAAAAAAAAACTTAAAATAGTTATAGTTATCAATTCTATTTATTAAAAATCTAATTTTTTTGAATCTTTACAAGGTTGTGTATTAGGTTTTACTAAACAACACTTGTAAGTTTCTTTGGTTATTTTTATAAAAAAAAAATTAGACAATCTTTTAAAGAAATTTGTTAGTCAGTTTATTTTAAATATTTATTATTTTTTATTTATTTTCCTAATTTTATTATAAAATGCTGTATTTCCACAAATCTTTTTTTTGAAGATAAAAATTGGTGCCTCCATCTTGGTTTTAGGTTATATTATATAAAAACCTACTTTGTTAATACTAATAATATAATATTATTATATAATTGTTTAAATGTTAGCGTAATAACTTTTTCTTTATATTCAATAAATTTTGAAGAAATAAATTTTTGTATAGTTACAGGAAATTTAGTAATTATCTTTTAAAGTTTAGTTTTACCTTATTAAAATTAAATAATCTTTCTTTTCTGTAAAAAAAAGTTAATATTTTTAGTGTGTAGTTATGTTACTAATCTAAAATGTTTAATTGTGAAAGTTGGCAATCTCCTAATTTACGGTTCCATGATCAGCTACGCTATTATTTATAAAAAAGAGTATGAAAATCTCTTTTAATACTTCTGCAATGCTTTTTAAAGATTCTATAAGCGACTATTAATGTGTAAATGTTATAACTTTAACTTTTTTCCAATAAAATTTACACAGTAAGTTTATATTTCTATTTCTATAGCCAGTTAAAATAAAATAAGGAATTGAATTTTTTTTAAGAAAATTAAATTTATATAAATTTTAATTATAAATAGATTTTCTAAAGATTACATTTTAATATTTATAAAGTTTTATTTTTCAAGAATGGTAGGAAATTAGTCCTTCACAGGAGCTACCCTAAACGCTCATTGTTTAAAAATTTAAGTATATTTTGAAACTAAATTCGGTATAACATACTTAACAACAGTAGCCAATAGGTAATTCATGAATAACCTGCAAGTAAACTTTTTGATTCTATAATGCGGGTGCACCATCGTATTTACACCAGTTTCCAAATCTACTCTTTTAACCGTATTACAGTTTGTGTGTGTGAAACTTTTTTAAAAGATAGTTACTATGAAAGAAAATTTTTCCTTGTTACCAGAAAAATAAAGGGAAAAAGAACGACTATTAATAGTTTTTTCCCCAAGTAATAATTTTTTAGGACAAAACACCAACTATGAGAAGCGCTATATTCATACTAAGTTTCCTGAATAGGCACAGCGTACTTAACATCTTAAGTATAATTATTATGACATCTAAAAAATTAATAGTCCGGGCGAGACACGACTAATTGCAAGCATAAAACGCTAATAAAGCTATTTTTAGGCACCAATTTACGTTTTTTACTTGGTTATAATAATAACCTTGTGGAGATCTTCAGAGCATTCTCACAGACAAAGCTTAGAAAGCCAATATATTTATTCCGCAAAGCAAGCCTTTAATTAAAAAAGGTAATGATATGTAACGCCGCACCTAATTATAAAAAATTTTCTAGAATTTTAACAAGAAGGAGCCTAAGCGACTGTAAACTTGAGCAAGTTAACTTGATTATATTTGATTGTTGGATATCACGTATGGCTGTATAATTCTAAATAATAATCGTAAACTTGTTGAGAATATGAAAAATTTCAATACTCCGGTTCATTTGCTGATGATGCAGTTCGTGAGTGTGGCTATATTGAACTAAACCATGCGCCATGCAGTGTAGGCCCTGGCCTCCAGTCCAGCGACTGTTTCTCTACAAAACTAATATCGGACTTAGGGGGGGAACTGTCTTGCATGCGCCTTTTGAAGACAAAACTTCAGACTATTTTTATGGGGGCTTAGAAAAGTTACTTTACCGATATGATTAGTGTGTTAAATAACAAGGAAATTAATGAAAAATAATAGAAATTTTTTTTGATTAATGTCGTTTTTAGCATCCTTAAGCCGAAAACTTATAAACCGTAACACTTTTGATCTACCGAACAAATTGCAAGTTTACATAATATGGTTGGAAGACAAACCAGTAATTAACTGAAGGTTAACGAACTAATTAATAAACTGTTCCTGATTTTTTTTTATTTTGTGAGGATACTTATTGAAAATAAACTTGTGATTGACAAAAAAATTATCGTGCTATGGGTTTATACTTTAAAGGGTGCATACATTGCTCAATGTTTTAACAAAGCCCGACTCTAAAGCTCTACCCGTGAGGTGTATTCACATTTCAATCAACGTGAGTTTAATTTATATAATATCAAAAACAAGGATGCTTAAATTACCAAGTTTTGTCTTTCCATTTTTCCTGCTCCCATTCTTTTTGTTCTTAAATTTTTTCTTGGTGGTTCTTAAGCAATGTAACTTTGTTGTATCATATCTTGTCCTCCTGCTTGTATTATATCGTTGTCATAGATTTGGCCGCTGGGATAAACATACACAGCAGTGTCTAAAAAGAAAAGATTCAACATCAATATCCACCCTACTTACCTAGTTATCTAATTTCATCTTTTTAGTAGTAAAGTTCGCTTTTTATGCCTCGCCTATATTGTGGATGAGTCGAATACTTTGTTAAGGATCTCCCTTGAGAGTTCTTTTAAATAAGAAAGTTCTTCTCTTTGATGTCAAAAATAAACTTACCTCAAAGGTTAATATTCGGAGTTGTCCTTTCAAAATGACCAACAACACTCGACGCACTAGTTTTTGAATGACTTAAATAACTGTTTTTAAGTACTGCTTTTAAAAAATATTATTTAGGTTAGCTCGACGCAACAGCGTTACAGCATTGTTTCATTAGAGAATCTACAAGTAGTCACCATGAATGGTTGACATATCATTCGTTGTTTAATTTTCTATAAAAGAAACTTGTGACTTCAGCTCCACTATTAAATTTTTTCTTGTGCTCATCAAATCTTCTAGAATCTTTTTGAATTTTAATGATAATGGCCAAAAAATTTAGAGTAATAAACCTTTAAGCAGTTTCTACCCCTCCATAAAATCTAACCCGGGGCTATTCAGCTCAAAATTTAATTGCCTAAATTACTAACAATATTTTCGTGGAGCTTTACCTATAACACTACTAATTAATAAAGATTTTTTTGGCGATTGTTTTTTTTTGGTTCTTCAAACTTTTGTCTCTTATGGCATCTGTTCCGTTGTTGGCAGTACCGCTATTTGCGCTTTTTTTTAATAGCTCCTTAAAATAGTTCATTAGTTCAACTTAAAATCTTATGTGGAAACAATAAAAAAATTCTTTAATATTACATTGTGTTTAACGTTCACAACTACCATGAACCTTCCTAACACGAACTGCTATTTTGACCAAGAAGCATGTATCATAAAGTTAATATTGAGAGCTTCGCAAATATGGAGGTGATTTCTACGAATTGTTATTATGATGGACTTAAAAAAAAATCGTTTTTCTATATTACTTAAAAAAATTCAATTTTCCTAACAAATTAATAAAAAAAAATTCATTTTCAAAGAATAATTCCCTACTTTACAACTAATAAATTAACTACAGGTCTTCGCTTTATACTAAAAATTTTTTAGTAAACAATATATTTCAAATTAGCTTTAAATTAACAATATAGTAGTTATGCCAAAAAGGTACTACGACTCGTAATGCACCACGTAAATTCTGTTCATAAAATTATTAGTATGTTATCACAAAAGGGTTATAAAACTAAGAAGCCACGTCAAGTAAATTCAAAGCCTAACTTTTTTTATTTTATATTAATAATAAAATAGAAAGGTAGATAGGGGTGATATTATTAAAGTTTTCAAAACCACTTAGGAGGACCGTTTTAAGCAAGTGTTAAAGAGATTAGACAAAGGCCAAACAAAGTGTTCTTTTATTTGGTAAAAATAAAACTAGAAAAAAGTGTAAGAAATAACATCGAATTAAAAAAAAAGGCTTCTAAGTATATAAACACCGCTACCAGCCCCGGAAGCAAGATTTTTAGCCAACCTGGGATGGGAGAGTGTGGAGATTGCACTAGTATAAATATTCTAGTCTTTGCTTGGATTGAGGTCTACTTGCTGGTTTCAGGGGTACATCTTTTTTTTTTGGTGGTTGACCCCCGCTTAGTGCTTAAACTATCCCTTCTCCTTTGCCTCTCCGCTTTGTGTGACTCTTACCTCTTTATATGCTGACCTTTCGCTTTATGAATTTTTTTATCGAAAATGACTTTAATAATGCTTGCCTATATGTTAATTATTATTAGTATTATCTACAATAAAGATTTTTCTAATTTGGATCGTACTTTCGCTTGCTACTTTGCTTGGCAATAAGTGGACCTTTATATTTTTTAAACGCTATCCTGGGTTTTACAGTCGTCATGCATCATAATGTCTACGAGGTTTCTCCAGTTACTTTGTAGTATAGTTAATATATTATTATTTATTTTTATTATCAGGCTTGAGAGATTATTGACCCTTTTAGATAAGGGCTCTACCCCTTTGTCAAGAAAAGCAGCCGCCGTCCAAATAGGAGAAATTATCAAATTTCATCCCGATGAACTTTTAAATTTGCTATTTCGCGTAAGATATTAAATTATTAAAAGAATTTACTAAAATTTCATATTTTTAATTTATTTACCTAGATTCATGAGTACTTAAAGAGCGCTAATTGGGATACCAGGACAGCCGCCGCGGAAGCTATAAAGCAAGTTGCTGTTAATATTCCTAAATGGTAAACTCTGTTGTAATATAATTTATTATTAATTTATTAAAAAAAATAATAAGAATTTTGACTTACAGTAAGGAAGAAGATTTTATGCGTTATTTGTTATATACTATAAGGCCGCCGGCATCTGCTACATTTTCTCAATCTGATAACAAACGGGAACTAAATGAATCAAATTATCAATTATCTTTTGGTTAATTTTTTATCACGTTTCTGTCTTAATAATGTTTTATAATACGGTATAATAGTTTAAATGTTTTTATATAGCTTACGTGCTTTCAGTATTATATATTTCTCTCTATTTGTTGCTTAAATGTGAGATACGTTTACGTTTCTAAAGTAAAAGTTATTTAAATTTATACTATTACTATTTTATTGTTCTATGAGAGTTTACTTGCATTTAATATATATACTTTAAAGGCTACTTGAGCTTTATTTCTAAATACAGCGTTTTTCAACTTTTTTATTTTTTATTACTGTAGTTTTCTTATTTTTTATTATATATTGTTTTATTGATATTTAGTTAAATAGTTTTTTTACCTCTTCTTTTTTTGTTGCTGTCTTTCTTGTAAGATCTTAAAATTTTATGTTATTTCATTTTTGTTCTATTTTTTTTTCAAAGATAATTTTGACATTCACCGACTTGTCGAAAATGGTCGCGCAATGTTTAGTTCAGGGGGTTCAGAATACGATTTTGAAGAGGGCACGTTAACTGCAGCTCAGAGGTAATTAAATTTTTACTTTCTAAATTATATACATATTTTTTCCTTTATTTTTTTTTTAATTTTCTAATTCGAGTTCCTTTTTGTTAATATGAAAATATTTTATTTTGCTTTCTTTTCATTATATGTAACATTATATATTATTTTGATTTTTTTTAAGTAGTTTTTGTATGTACTCTTTTGTTAACTTATTAACTATTGTTATTGTCTTCCCTATCTGGATTTAAGTTTTTAAAATTTTAAATGTATTCAGAGACGTTTAGATTTTTCTTCATATTTTCTCCTGAATTAGCGAAGTTTAATACTTAAGCTTTTTTAACTTTAATTTTCTAATTTGCATTTACTAAGTAAATTTTGAATTTTATTTTTATTATTTATTAAGTTCATTACAGAAAGAATATATTTTGTATTGAATTGATTTTTAAATTAACTTTAATTTTGAATTAACTTACTTTTATTTTATGCTAATAATAATTTTTTTTTAATTAGTCCATAAAAGTTGTTATTAATTAAAATTGAGTAAAAAAAAATTTATTTAAAGGTTGACTATAATTTACTTTTAATAGAGTTGGATTTATATTATATAATAAATATATTGATTCTTTATTGTACTAGAAATGATTACAAAAACTGTAAAAGGCAACTTTTAGATAAAAGCTAATTTTTTAATTATTGAAAGTTTTTTAGTGTGATTTATTTGAATTTGAATTGTTTTATAAAATTAACAAATAAGTATACTAGTGAAATAACTTAACTTTTGTTGAAGATAAATAGAATATTTAATAATAAATTTTTTAAACATTGCATATTATGAAGGAATAATACTTTTGTATTTTTTTAAAAGAAACATAAATATGAAATGATATAGTAATTAAAGTTAAACTCGTTTTAATTTTAAAATTTTTTTTAATTATAATTATTATTCGGCTGTAACTTAGAAAAAAAATTAAGAAATAATATATTTATTATTTTCAATTTAGATTTCTTCACTTTTTTTTATATTTTCTGTCTTATCAGGCTGGAATATCACAAAAGAAACCTTCAAAGTCAGTTAGAATTAAATTTAGCCTTTAATTCTAACATTGGCATCGATATTAAAATGGAGGCAACTTTCATAAATTTTATTGCACTCTATTTTTGATATGTGCCTATAATTATATATGAAGGACTTGGAGGTCTTTAAGGAGACCCCTTCGAAAAGGACTGCGTCCACTAGTGAGGATTCGTCTGCTTTCATGAAGGGTCTTTAACTTTTTTATTATTTATCGTTAACTATCTACTATTATTAGTAAAGGTTTAAGTGCCCGTCAAAAAATACAACACAAAAGACTTTTGCGCACTAAAAAGGCTTCTGAGCAAACTTTTCCCAGTCTATTTATATGAACATCGTATATATTCAATTATTAATCTTAAATTTGTATAGAGGAGAAGCCCAATTGTTTCACTGGTGGAAACGTTGAAGGTCCACGTGGTTTTTTATTTATGTTTTTGTATAAAATTTTTTTTATCAATATTAATTATGAATGTTTTGCTGTTATTATACATTTATACAATGAGGATAAAGTTTGCATATATTTAAAGGGCATGTAAGTACCCACACGAGGCCTTCAAGCCGTGTTTTCGCTGCCGGCTCGGAAGTAGAGCTTTTCTTATCATCTAACTTCTTATTTTATAATCTCACAGAATAGCTTCATTGTGGATAATAGTTATTATACAACATAAAGTCAATAATATATTTACTTTTAAAATTTTGTAGTTTATTGCTTTTATTTTTGAAATTTTTTTGATTATTTTTTTATCATTGGAGATTTTGATTTTTTATAATAATTATTATACATGCTAAATACCGAATTTTTAAAAACTTTTGCTTCTCTTTTTTTGACTATCTCAGGATTTCTGTTGCGCATGGCCTTTTGAAGAGTTTTGTGAGGAATTATGTTGCGACCTTTTCGCGTCTTCTTGGGAGGTTATTAAAAACTATTTCTTCACTAAAACTTTTGATCAAGTACCTTGTATTTATACATTTATACAGATTAGACACGGAGCTGCCGCTGCTCTTAGAGAGATCATATTATCGCATGGAGAAGGCGCCGGCATGAGTATTCTTATCTCTAACCTTTATTACATATATATTATTGTTATTATTCTCACAGTATTAAACGAATCCCCCGAAGAACAGCGTGCAGCGCATTATAAATGGCTGGAAGATGTCGCCATCCGCATACTTTGTGTTTTTGCGTTAGACAAAGTTGGTGACTTCGCCTTTGACCAAGTGGTGGCTCCGGTGGGTCATTATCGTCTTTACAATATTATTATTACTATTGCTTTCTAAGGTTCGAGAAACGAGTGCTCAGGCTTTAGGGGCTCTTTTAAAGTACATGCCTGGTGCTTTTTGTTTTCAATTTCTTTTTAAAATTCATTAATTTCTGGAAATGTTTCAGACAATCTTATTGAGAAGGTCCTATTGGTGTTGCTCCAATTGCAAACGAGGGACTCTGTATGCTTTATAATTTTATTGACTGTCCGCGCTTACGAGGTCCACTACAGTGGGACATCCGTTATGGCGGCCTGCTGGGCTTGAAGTATATTTTGAATGTTCGAAAGGATCTGACCAGTCGGCTTCTCCCGCAGGTTTTTACTATTACTTTGTGAATGGAGTTCTCCTTGCTTATACTCTAAAGGTTCTTCCCGCCTTGCTTTGTGGCTTAAAGGACAGAGAGGACGACGTACGCGCCGTTTCTGCGGAGTGTCTTATTCCCGTCCTACCAGAACTAGTAACAGGCTCGTCCGATTCTGTAAATAAGTTTATCTCTTCTTTGGTTTTGTTGATGGTTTATCTTACAAACGTGGAAGGTTCCTCTTCTGCTGCAAATCTTGTGGGGATTGCTGCTAGATTTAGATGACGTCACTTCCTCTACTGTCCATGTGGGCTTACCATTATTCGATGCGTTCTTTGTATTTATTACGATTAACAACAAGGTTGTTTCTTTACTGGGGCGGCTCCTCTCCTATTCGTCGGCAATGAAGCTTAACGGTTTCTTTGTGCCGTATTCTTTGTCCTTGGTACTTAGCCACCTGGAATAGAAAAGGCCACGGGGATGCCCTTTTCCCAGTTAGTCCCCCGCCTTACCAGCTTTTTTCGTCACGGCAATAAGAAAGTGCGCATGGCTTCCCTGAACGCATTGGCTACTATTGTTTCTTCTGCTGCAAGTGCCCATTGGATGTCGCTGGTCGGCACTGACCTTCTTAAGGCCGTATTCTTGTGCTTTCTAGTCGATGACGATGAAGACGTTTACGACTCTGCACTCACTGGTCAGCGTCGGTTCAGCTCTAGTTTTAATGCACCTCTAGTCATTTTGTATATCCAGTTTGGAAAGAACTTTTGGAGGCCATGACACGTGGAAATGAAGACTTATATCAAGTTACGAGTTGCACGTGGTGATCAACATAATACTCTTTCACATCTTTTTCTCAGCAGTTCACAGCACCTCTCTTTCACCAATGGCTTACGATGACGTGTGCACCACGTGGTTTTCCTTTTTCTCATGATTCCTCAATGGTTACTTCCACTGTTTTTTCAGACAGAAGGAATAAAATTATGAAGGGTTTTATCGTTATCGTCAATTATAATTATATATATATTTACCCTTATATTTAATGTTTATAAGTGGATATTATGCCTTACGATCGAGACGCTTCTGTTAGAATTCGTCTGATCTCCTCCTGCGCTTTAGCACTTCTGTACTTATATTATAACATGCACCAGCACAACTCATTATTTTTTATAATTTTGCTGCAATAATTAATATATTATGTGTAATGTAACAAATTTTTAACCTTACTTTGGAATTATTTTTGCTATATTTTAAATAATACTGCAAGCAGTCTTATAATAATAACAAGTATTATTACTGTTTCACAATTATAAATAGATATATAAATATTACTTTCAATTACCCCACAAGAATATAATAAATACTTGTTTTCAGCTGCACGTTTTATAAGTCAGTGGAGCACTTTAAAGCTATTCTCGTTTATTTTGGGGATTTGCTGAGTTCACTTTCGTATTCGAACCGCTTAATAACTGGTCTCTTCCTCACGGAGTTGGCCGCGCTATATTTCACGTGTGACGAACGTATGCCCGTTTCTATTTTTTAAATTATACAAGTTTTTTACTGAACTATTTATATAGGAACGCATAATTTTCCCGACATTTTGATTGAAAAAGTTCATAATGTTCTAACTGATCCCTATGAAGTGTTGTATACGGTAAACGGGCTTATTTATTTCATTGTTAGTAGGCATTCTTTGTTATTTTCATAAAAAATTAGGAAATGGAACCTTTGCGAAAGCAAATGCGGGGGGATATATATGATATTATTAATAGTTTTCGCAATAGAGGTTATTAATATTATGATTATTATTACCTTTCATTGTTATTATTATTAAGGACTTCCGCAAGATGCTTACTATGAAGTCGGCGACTTTAGAACGTACAATGGTCAGTATACTTCTGCAACTAATAATAGTAAATAGGAAGTTTCAAATTTATATTGGTAGTAAACTTTTGTGAGGTTAAAAATGTAAATAAAACCGAAGTTATTTTTGAGAAAAAATTCTTAAGTTTATTATTATGTTTTTCGCACCATTACTAAGAGGAGCTTGCTTGTGAATTTTTGAATAACATTTTTCCTAAATGGTGGAAGCAGATGCATGCTTCGATCGCTCGCTCGGATAGCCGTTGGATGAGTATTCGTTATTTAAACTTTGCTGTGAAATCATTTCTATTGAAAATGACAAAACTCAGATGTGGAGTCTCAAAGAATTCGTTTAGAAGAAACTATTAAGAAACTTTCTGAAGAACAAAGTAAAGAAAACACTAGGTCCCCTATTACCTCACTAATAGAAACAATGTTACTATTATCCACTCCAGTATCCTTTCTTCGCTTGCGTATTTTTCTATTCAAGTCGGCCGACTGCTGCCAAAGTTGAACCCCATTGTACAGCCACTCATGAAGTCTCTCCGCTCCGAGTCCAATGTCTCCCTGCAAATGCGCAGGTTCTTATTATAATTATACTCATTATAGTTACTATTCTTATCGCTATTTGAAGTGCCAAAGGGATTGCTCTCCTCCTGAAAATGAATGTATCCCATCAAAAAATTATTCGCAATATTATTAGCTTTGCTTGCGCAGATCCCACAGTGAAGCCGCCTTTGCCTGTTGAGTATAATACAAGTATTATGATGCTCATTATTTTTCTTTACTATTTTTAACAATTTACCAATGGTAGAGTACCTTTTTATAGGTCGCGTGTTAGAGTATTAAAATCGGTTTTGATTGGTGGAAAATATATTAAAATATACCATCATATCTTTATTTTAATTTTATTACTATTAAGTATTTCGTAAAATGTTTATATGTAGTTATATATAAAGTATCAGTAGTTTTTGCGAAAACCAGAAAGTACAAAATCCATTTTTAAGGTTAACAAATGTGTTGTTATTTGACAATATTTTTTTGTTGCGAATCGGTATCTTCTTTACACAACTATACTTCTGCATTAGGAAACATTATTTATAGCTGTAGGAATGCTTTTTAGGGCATATATTGCGAATGATAAAATTAGAAAATACCATAAAACCGATGACTTAACTATTCATACTGACTTATGTATAGCTGTGTCTGATGGCATATGGTCTCTTGAAAAGGAGCTGCTAACCTCCAATCCCAAGTTAGCAAATTCTTGGTTCTTTTCTACTGTCTTTTAATACTTTTGCGTTACCATATAGAAGTTTTAAGCAGTATTCTGAAAATGACGAAAAGTTAGATGCTTATAGAATTCAGGGAAGAGGTTCGTTATTTATAATGCTGATGATCGTCTTACTATTATAATAATGAAGGGGGTCTCTATGCGCTGTGTGAAATTTGCCGAGTCTTCGATAAAGAATTATTTTTATTACTTCCTGTTCTTTTGGAAAATTTTGTGGAGCCCATCAAGAATTTTTTTTTGGCGCCAAATGGTTTAATAGCCCAATTGTTTATTTTTTTGTGAAAATAACTTTTAAAAGGAACTTTGGGGCCTGTCAGTATCGAATCACTTCTAAATTCGCTTCACTTCTTTATAATTTTAGTGCCACTTTTACATGTGGAGCTTCGCGCTCGTGTATTTTCCTTTGTAAATGTTTTCATTATTTTAGGTCCACTTTAACATTTAAACATGTAAACGTTTATATATTAATAAAAACAGTTATACAAAAATTTGAGTAGTGGTATAAAACTTAATGTTTTAAGTTTGTAAGTATATTTAGCATTTTAACGAATTTATCAGCGTTTTACATTTTATTATAACTACAAATAACACGTACACAAATTATTTCGTAATTAACACGTGTTCCTTTACCTTTTGCCAACATTTTCTTAGATTCTTTCTTTTTCTACTGAAGGCGTTTGCGTGTTGCGAGTATTTACTGGTTGGCTTGAAGAGTAGCTTCAAGTGTATTCGCTATATGAGTTCTCAATGCTTTGCCGTATTGGTTTTTTATACTTTTATCTCTTTTCATTACTTTTATAATGTAAGGTCCTTTGTAAATGTGATACTTATCGCCTCGTTACGTTTGTTATTGAGAATATTCTTCCTCAAATAACTCACGCGGATTGTCTTGTGCGTCAGGGTTGTATAGAGTCTATATATGGTAGTTCTAAATACTTACTAAATCTTTTGTTACCTATTTTCCCTTTGGCTAAATATCGCTATAAAATTTTATCGATTGCTTCATTACAATTTCTTCAGTGATTGTTGAGCGCCTGGAGTACTATATTGTCCCCTTTTTGGCCTTTCTAGTGATTCCTGTGCTTGGGCGGATGAGCGATGAGGTCATCCTTCTTTTAAAAAATTAGAACTCTCTATTGTATTATCCAATCAGGATGCCGATGTACGTCACCTGGCGGCATCTTGCTTTGCTGCCCTTGTTAAACTGATGCCGTTAGAGGTCGGTAGTGCTGGACCTATTGGTTTGAAGCCGGATCTTATAGACCAATGGAAAGAGGTGTAAATGTGTTGTATTTTTAATTACTGCACTAGAAAGATTATTTTTAAGGAACGGAAATTTGTTTTACAACTATTGGACAATACTTTAACGAATGAGATCGAAATACCGTCTATAGTTAGGGCCGAGCTGCGCTCTTATCAAAGAGAGGGTTTATCCTTTTTATAATGATTGTTGGCTCTCTTTGTTAGCTGTGCTTGTATTATTATTTTTGACTTCATATAGTGAACATTTACCAGTTCATGTTCATTTTTATGTCTTAATTTTTTAAGGTGTGAATTGGCTGTTTTTCTTAAAGAAGTACAACTTGCACGGAATTCTTGGAGATGGTATATTTTTGTATTTATCGTTATACTTACTGTTGTAATTTACTCAAAAATAAAGACATGGGCCTTGGAAAAACACTGCAGTCCATTTGTATAATGAGCTTGACTCTCGATGAAAAGGGTGGCGCTGGTTACAAACGTCAACGTGTTCGTTTTGCGTTATCTCATACGTCCTAAAATTCCAGGACGTCCACTAGCCCATTTAGTCGTTTGTCCGTCCACGCTTTGTGGTCATTGGCAGTGGGAGATTCAAAATTTTTCTTCATTGAGACCTTTTTCGTATGTTGGAACCGTGTTGGAACGGGCCAAGTATGCGTATATTTGTTACTAATTGATAAATGATGGTGCGTAAGGTAGCATGACTTTGGTTGCTTTTTCATTATATCTGGTGTTACGGTTTTGTGATTGGGCAGAAAAAAGAAAAATTTATTTAGAAGCTAAAAAATTCTCTATTTGCCTTTACCTGCACCATCACTGCGGTTTTTATGTCTACTTATCCAATACCATTATATTGACAGCTTGCGCACTTCCTTAACGAATTTTGATGTGATAATAACTTCATATGAAGTTTTAAAAAAGGATATTGACTTCTTATCAACAATGCATTTTTCTTATTGTATACTCGATGAAGGTCACATCATAAAAAATTCCAGAAATAAGGTACCTTTTTATGGATATGTTGCTCATTCTTAAAAGTTCTTTTACGAATTTGACGGCAAATAAGAATAGTGTTTTACTTATTGTGATGTATTGTTTGGTTGACCCTTTGTGTTAGTGCTCACTTCTAAGTTCTAATTTTTCTTTTATAAAACGGCTCTCAAGCCTACTATAGGTTATTTTATTTCAGACTAAAATTTGTTATATACTTTACTAAAAAAAAAATTATTACAAATTATTAATTGATGTTACATAAAAATATGTTATTTACTTAATATTTTATTCCATACGTTTATGCACATATTTTGTCATGTATTTACTTTATTGTTTGCTCATTTTTTTATGAAATTAGCATGAATTATTAAACTTTAAAGATTATTGGTGTGTTCAATGTATTATACTATACTATCCAATAGCTTTCCCTATCGTCTAAGAAGATCCATGCCAATCATCGCTTAATTCTCTCGGGGACACCCATTCAGGTAATTTTGTTTGGGATTTATCTAACAATATTTAAGGTTTACTGGTCAAATATATATATTTGTTTAATAGAAGAAGAATTACTTTTTTGAATGTTAATTATGTAATGACTGCTACTTAACTTTTTAATTTGATAAATGTAATATTTATGAATTTTTTTTTTATTCGTTTGCTGTGAATATATATATATAAATAATAAAAAACTTTTATGAGGGGAGTCCTAATTTTTTTTATTTCGTAGAAGTCTGTTTTAAGCAACTTTTGTAAATATTAACTTTATTTGTATTAGTTTTTATGATTTGGTCGTTCCAACTACCATTTAAAGTTTCTTATGTAAATATTATGACTTTTTAGAACAACGTGCTTGAGCTGTGGTCGCTTTTTGACTTTCTCATGCCCGGCTTTCTTGGTTTCTTTATTTTTTTTGAACTTTTTATCATTTATTTTTACTTTGAAAAACGAATTGTCATTTATTAAAAAAATATATTAAAGGCATAAAGTTTAAGTATTGTACGGCAAAGTTTTAAGTTAGTTTTAAGGTTGGACAAGAATTTAGTAAAAAAAAAATTGTTACCTTTCAAAATTTTGATAAAGAAGCTTAATTATTTATATCGTGTAGAAATAATAATATAATATAGTTTTCTTTATAAAAATTACTAAGCTAAATGATAGAACTATTTATGTAATAATATAATCAAAATTTATAAATATATGTTATTATATAAAGTTAATATCTTTTTTTAAAAAAAATCATATGAAGTATATTCAAGTATCATATTTTTACTAACAAAAAATTGGAAGTTTTACCTACGAACACTATTTTTTATAGCGAAGTGAGAGTTGTAGGTGTTTGCATATATAATTTTAATAAGTCGCACGAAATTAAGTATTATAATATTTTAATATAAACATAAAAGTAGTTTTTTTTGTAAAGTAAAACGAGATATACATACGTATATATATTTAATATACTTTACTTTTCCTAGTTAACTTTTACGTTAGAATTTACTTAATAATACTTTAAATATAAAATTGATGTTTTGTTGTTAATATTATTTATGTAAAGGAGCTTATAAACTCAATACTGCTTCCTAAACTATTATGAACCTGTTTTTCAAATAAATTTTTTTTTACTGATACTACATTAATATACTTTTAATCTTATTTTTGTATAATATAAAATTTTTATTATTATAAAGTTTCTTTTTATTTTAGCGACTACTGTTTATCCTTTTACTTATTTATAATAATATAAAATAAAAAATTATATTTCTCAATTTTTTTTGTTTAATACTAATATTTTCCAGGCTTTTAAACAGATAACAGATAATCATTAAATATTTATATAATTATTGTATTTTCATATTTTTATCGTATATTTTATACTTTTTTATTTTTTTTTTTTATTTTTATGATTGTTTTTAATATTTATTTTTTATAATGGTAGGCACTGAGCGTCAGTTTTATGAAAAATATGAAAAGCCCATAATGCATAAAGGAGAGGAGAAGCCATCGACACCCAAAAATGATGAAGTTTATATATACTATATAAATACATTAATTTTACATTGAAATCCAAATCAACAATTTTCACAGTATTATTATCTTAAATAATAGGTTTACCTTTTTTTATTTATTCTTAATTTTCTTTAATATTCAAATACTGTGAAATAATACTTTCGTTATTATTTCTTTATTTAGACTGCCATGCTGGCTCTTGAGAATCTTCACCGCCAAGTTTTGCCTTTCATACTGCGACGTGTCAAAGAAGATGTTTTGAAAGTTATTTTTATGTGCATATTATTACTTTGACTGTTTTATTTTCCTCATTGGTTGTTTGTAAGGAATTTACCAATATTACTGGTTTATATATATATATATATAGCCCTAACTTGGTTAATTTTCACGTTACTAATTATCTTCTGTAAGGATCTACCTCCTAAGATCATTCAAGATTATTATTGCCAGCTTAGTCCACTTCAGGTATTATTTATGTTACGCTTATAAAAGTTTTAAGTTTAGACAAACCTTTTTTAGGCTTCTCTGTACGATGAGTTCTCAAAAACTTTGCTTGGTGACGAACTTCGATCCGCAGCGTGGTCTCTGCAAGACGGTCAGACTCCCGCCAAAAAGTACTGCGAATTTTGTATTAATACTAATAGTTTCACTCTATTCTTTTTTAAGAAGTTCATCTTCAGAAGAGGCTTCTGTCCATATATTTCAAGCATTGCAATACTTACGCAAACTTTGCTCGCATCCGAAGTTAGTTCTCACCAATAAGCATCCAGGTAGTGGATGATATGACCAATTATAAAATGCAAAGGCACATCAACCTTTTTTTTTGTAGAATATTTAAAGTTGCAATCAGAAAATGTTAATATTAATAGTATCGAGCATTCACCCAAACTTGTTGCCTTAAAGTAATTTAACATTATTATTATTGCTATATAAAATATTAATATTGTTAGTTTGCTACTGTTTCTGTAATCATGCTAACACTGTTTTCAGTGTTCATTTTCACCTTTTTTTATTGGTGTATACAGAAACAAAGAATTTGTATATTTTGCTTTTTAAATTTAAAGCTGAATATATATTTTTTTTAAGATGAAAGTTATTGTAACATTTATTCTCTTCTATTATTAATAGAAAAAAAGATACTATTGTGCAACTTAAAAGGCATAATTTTTTTGTTTACAATTAACATATATTTTTATGTAATTACAATTTGTTGGATATGTAAGTTTGTATTTAACTATTAATTATTAACGTTTTTTGTGATTGTTAAATTGTTTTTACAGCTCTTAAAATAACTTTTTAAAACTAGTTTCTATCATTTTATTATAGGAAACGTTAGATACTATTTAAGACTCAAGCGTAGGCTATTAAAGTATATATTTGACATTGTGATAATTTTTATGGTAGGCGCTAGAGACCATTATACCCTTTAAACTATGTAATTTTTATTACTTTTATAATTAAGTTAAACTATTAGAAGTATTAAAAAAATTTGATTAATGTATATTTATGAATTATTATAAATATCTTATATGCTATATTTTAATTTTTTGTTATAGCTGAATTAAGACATTTATTAAATTATAAAGCTAATCTCTAGTGTTTCCTAAAAGTTTCTGAATATAATCTATTAAAATGTAAAATTTACTGCGAGTCTGTGCGTACTTATAAATATAATGAAATTCAGGCAGTTGTTAAACGATTGTGGCATTGGCGTGGATTCCGGGCAGGAGGACACCAGCCTGTCTACGGTAACCAATCATCGCGTTTTAATATTTTGTCAGGTAAATACTTCTGTTATATTATTTTTAAATATTTTTATCTTAAGTTCTTCTAATATTTTAAAGAAGACTTAGTATTAATGTCTATTACGATTTATTATAAATACAAATAAAATTCCTAAACTTTATCTTCTTTTACTTGAATTCAATTGTATAAATTATTATGTTTCTATTATAATTTTCATTTTTATTAATTATTATATTTTTTATTTCATTATTATTATTTTCATTACTGCTTAGCTTAAAGCGATGCTTGATATTATTGAAACGGACTGTCTTGCCTCCTTTATGCCTCAAGTCACTTACTTGCGTCTGGACGGTGATATCTATTTCTGATTTACATATTATAATTTATATCTCATTCCTTGGCTTTTTTAGTTTATTTATTAAACTATTTTTTTTGTTTCTGATGATAACTTTATATTATCAATTTTTTTATTATAATATTTATATCTCATTTTTTAATTTAATTAATATAATTTTAAATGCTGAAATTTAATATACTATTTTTAATACTAATTTATTTTTCCATCTTTTCTTTTATTTATTGCTAAAATTATTTTAGCATTCCTATTATTTTCTTGTTAACTTTTTAGAGGTTTTAATGATATACTCCAAATTTATAATACTATAAATTATGTTTTAATATTCTTTTTATTGATATGTAGGAAATACGGAACTCTCGAAGCGTCATGAAATAGTACAGAAGTTTAATTGTGATCCCACCATCGATTTGCTTTTGTTAACCACACATATTGGCGGATTGGGTCTAAATTTGGTTATGATTATCCTTATTATTATTATTATTAAATGAACTGAAGTTTATAAATGTAAGTAGTCATGTTACAATGGAAATATAATTTGATTATTACCATATTAATATAAAATAACCAGTATTTATAAAATATATATATATATATATAAATTGATTGGAAGTGAATGGTAATTTTGATAAACGATAAGCTGTTCTATAGAAAAGTAAACAAGTTGATATTTTGGAAAAACTGAGTATTTTGCTTATTCGATTCTTTTTATCCTATTTAAGTTTTAATATTTTGGTAGAGAAGAGCATTTTTTGTTATAAAGTTTTTCTATTTTTTTTTGTATGGAGCAAGTTGACTAAATTTTTAAATCAGAATGAAAAATGTTATGAATTTTGTTTACTTTTAGTTTTAGTATTGTGTTTTAATTTTTTATAATTACTATTATTTTTACATGAAACTGTAAACTAATTTATTAACTTCATACAATATTTTCTTATTATAAAATAACTAATAAGCGAAAGTCCAAACTGTAATTTTATTGTGAAATTATAGACATTAACTTTTTATTTTATTAAGGATTATTAATTATTTAAGGATAATATTTTTCTTTAACATAATTTATTTTTTTAAAGATAGTATTGAAAGTATTAAGCTGAAAAACTTTAAAAAAATTTGTTCGAGTTTTTTTAAAGGCTTCTAGAATTTTTATTTTTTACGTAACTATTAGGATTTTTTTTATTGTGATTTACGTTTTGTTATGTGAATGAAACTCATAGCCATCTTTTATTTTCTTTTTTTTATAGTTTATTACTTACTAAAGCTTCTTTTTTCTACACGCAAAATTTCTTATACTTGTTATGTTGGCAGACGGGAGCCGACACCGTTATATTTATGGAACATGACTGGAATCCCATGAAAGATTTGCAAGCAATGGACCGAGCTCACCGCATTGGACAAAAAAAGGTTTAATAACTAAATAATATATATATTTTTTTCATAGTTGAAGGAACTTGTATAACGTAACTAATTGTTATAATTTTTTTTAAAGCTTTGAACCTCTGTATACTTCATTTAAGGATCACACTGTTAAAACTTTTTTCGTTAATTGTACTTAATACTCAATTTTGAGATGAAATACTAATTATGCTTAGACTTTTATTTTAAAGAAACTTTCCGTTATTATTTTAACAATTCAATAGCGTTACTTTAAACGATTCAAAAAGTTTATATCAGTTCTATAACTTTTATTGTTTTTTGTGCCTCTTTTTCTTAATTTTATTATTTTAATTTCAGGTTGTGAATGTTTATCGCTTTATAATGAAAAACACTCTTGAAGAGAAGATCATGGGCCTTCAGAAATTCAAGTTAAATCTCGCCAACACCGTAATATCCACCGAAAATGCGTCTTTGCAGGGCTTGAATACTACTCAGTTGCTGGATCTTTTGGGTGACGAGGTTAGGCATAAATAAAGATCTCAGCATTCTTGAAATTGCTGTGAGTAGACTGTATGCGCTTAAGTTTGTTAAAAATTTCAGAGTTTAATTTCGAAAGTTTGTTAGAATGGTTTTTGGAGAGGATATAATTTTTTATGAACACAGAAAATTTAACATCTTCAAAAGAATTACAATAGTTATAGAGTTTAAATAAAAATTGAATAGTAAATTATAGGAATTAGTTTAATTATAAATTAAAGAAACATAATTTCTGGTGCGTTGCTTTTTTTATAGTGTAAAGTTAGGAATTTTTGATGTTAAAGCCGTTTTTAAATGTTATTTAAATTATATTAAATTTTTATTAAATCAGTTGCAGCAATTATTTTAAGACGAAAATATACTTTTTTTTTAACCCCTTTACGTTAAGAACTTCTGCTCATTTAAACTACTTTCGTCTTTGATTTTTAAAAAATTTACGTTAACCTTTATATAAATTAAGCACTACTTAAGAAGAGAGAACCCCCCCAACCAGATTTTGATACAATCTATAACTTCTATTTTTTTAATATATATTTTCATATATATTTAAGCTTTCAAAATTTGTAAGTTTAATTTATCTAAACAGAAAAAATCCAAAGCATCGTCAAAATCCAATTCAGAGTCAAAGCAAAATTTAAGAGAAGTCGTAGAACAGTTAAGCGATTTATGGGAACAGTCGCAATACGACGAAGAATATAATTTAGATTCCTTTCTGGAAAAACTTTCATAAAGAATCTGTTGACCCTCTTTATTTTTATTACTTTCAAAGAATTATTTTAATTTTTAGTTGAAAATAAATTTTGCAATTTTAAAATAAATTGACTTAAGTAGAAGGTAAATATATTTTTTTGAATTAACCAAAAAGGAAAACTTGGAAATTTTTTTTAAAAAAAGTAACTCTAATTTAGAACTTTTAACTAGTCGCATTAATATAAATATCAAAAAATTAAATATTAATCTTCAAATTGTATAGTATCTCGTTTTTTTAAGGTTTCTAGCTTTTTCTACCTCCGAATATTGAACTTTGTTTTGTTTTTAATAAAAAATTTACCTCGAAATTTTTATGAGCAATTTAGTAGAACTTATATAGTAATTTTAACTTTATTTTTCTTAAGTTTGATATATATATATATATATATATACTTTTAGTTAGTTGTTTTTCTTTAACACTTTTATTTTTAATTTTCTTTTCATATACAATGATAGTTTTTAGTACAATGCTACGATACTGCGCTTTTGATTAAAGAAACTATTTTAGTTGGTAAATATTAAGCTATACCGCTGTTACTAATTACTTATATATGAAAGCAATTATGCCTGGCAAAAAAATAGTTTACTTATTTCGTTTGAGATGAAGCTTCCCTGTTGAAAAAAAGGATTAAAACATTTGCGCTAAGCAGGTTTTAAATAGTCTTAGTATATTCTTAACAACAATTATTAAAAATTCACTTTAGAATTTTAAATTCTTTTACGTTAACTATTCTTGTGGTAGTCCTACACTACCGTTTTGTAGGCTGTAGAAGTCTTTTTAATGACTTTCTTAAAGTAAGCCTTTTCTATAAGCAAACTGAGATTAACAATTTGAACAATACCACTAGACTCGCCCAACTCTCATTTTCGCCATTCTTTTGCTAGTGATTGTAATTGAGATATGTCAATCTCCGACCATAACTAGCAGTGCACAGTTTAGTAACTTAGAAAAAATTTTCAAGTTAAGCATTTGACTCACTGCGTTCTGGGGACACTACCATTGTGAAATGCGAATCATATCAACTTACTTTTACAAATATAAAAACCAAGTTTATTCATTTTTAAAAATCAGATTAATTAAAGATATCAAAACAGGATTAATTCAAAAAATAATGCTTGACGTTCCCACCGTTAAAAGCTTTAAACTCATAGTAAAAAGAAGTTTTTAGTCAGAATTGTTTTATAAATTTTTTATGTTTGCTAAAAAACCTTGCACTTTTTCAATAAAAACGCAAATGTCTTTTTTTTTATTAATCCCCAAACATGCTCCGGTAAGCAGTAAAAAGTCGCCGTGTAAATTTAAAAAGTATAATTTTCTTTAAAAAAAAAGTAAAGTAGTAAATAGCTTTAATTTCTATCTAAAAATTGATGTGGTTTTCCTAAAACTGAGCTGCACACCGCACTGAATTTGCGATTTGCCATGTCCCACTTGAGCATGTCACACTTTATACACAGCAATATTTATGAGCTCCGTGTAAGAGCTTCACTTCTTTCATAATTAAACTTCCTTTTTAGGCATTAAAGTAGACTTACTAAATTTTGTGGAAGCAAATTAAGTAGTCCGTCCAATTCCTAAAGTTTTAAAACTTACAAATTGAAAAAAATTATTTATAACATTAAAAAAAATAGAATATAAATGTAACTTTGGCCTATATAACTAGTGAAAAAATTAATTTATAATTTATGTTAAGTTCGCAGAAATAAATTTTTAAATCAGCAATAAGTATAGAAACGAAAATAAATTAAAAAAAAAATTAGTCACCGAGTATTAGATTCTACGAGCGTTCACAAGCCGCGGATAGATCAGCTTCTCAAAAAGAATAAATCAGAATTTAAATTAAAAAAGTGAAATTCCAATTAAAATTTTCAAAGTAAATGAAATTTTATAAAAGTACAATACAAAGAGAAAACCATGAGAAATACGTGTAAATAAATAAAGTAAAAATGTTTTATAACAGAATTAAACAAAAATTTCCTGTAGAGCTGCAAAAATGATTCTTTTATTAGTAACTGTTTTATTTTTTAATAAAATATTAAAATACTATCACAATAACAATTCAACGCGTAAAGAACCTTCAATTTTAGTTTTTTATACTAATATTGCGAATAAAAATTGCCTTAACATAAACTCAAAAAAAAATAATGAGTTCACAATACAAAAAAATTCTAAGTTAGATAAAGTAAACAAAATAATTACTTTATATACTTTTTAGTTATATTAAAAAATCTTAATCGAATTACATAAAAACAGAGTTGATATGAATTTCATAAACAGAAAAAAATAAAAATAGAAAATATAATGTATAATATAAAATTAATTAGTTATTGTTATAAACAGATCCTCAATAATAGCGGATTCATAAAAGTTATAAAAGATATAATTAAAATAATTCATACAAATTTAAATCAATTTTTCTGTTAAAATAAATAAAAAACTTTAAAAAAAATTGAAAGCAAATAAATAATTCAAATAAATTGTAATTAAATTAGATTTAATATTTATTAAAAAAAAATTAAAAATGAGTTTATATTAACTTAAAAGCAAAAATATAAAAGTTAAAATTAGTATTTTTATTCAAATTTTCTAAAATTTGTTTACACGAAATAAAATTCTCTCTTATTAAATTTAAATAATTAATACAACCAAGTTTTATTGAATAATTCCAATCAGTAATCTTAAAAAACTCAATATTCTACAGTGCGACAAAAAATTAAATATATAACCCAAAGTAAAATTATTTTTAATGCATATTAATAATATTCAATTCAGAAAGAGAGTTTAATTAATAAAAATGAAATTTCACCAATTTTAAAAATTGGAAATTTTAATATTAAAAAATTTTATGTAAGCTATTATCAAAAAATAGCATAATATAAAAATGATAAACTCCAAAATATATATATAAATTTTTAAACATTAAAATAATTATGATAAATAAATAATCTAAATGCTAAATAAATTTATAAAATTTATGAAATTAAAAACAATAAACTCCAATGATATAATAAAAATAATTACCATTTTAATATAATAATCGAAAGTTTATTTAAGTAAAATAATACTTTACTAATACATTCGGTAATTGATTTACTTTTAAAAAGTTCAAGAGCAGCGCTCTCCTCTCTTTGTCGTATCGAATATTTTATTATATTATTATTAATGTTGCTATTAGTTTATCAATATTTACTTATTTAGTTAGTTTATTATACTAACTTTTTAAAGCTTCTTTATTAATTTATTATAATAAAAAAAGTAATATTAATATCACCTTTATGTTATTATTAATATGACTGTGCTCATTATAAACTTTTTAAAAAACCTCTAATATATTTTTTATAAAACTTTTAATAACATAAGCTTCAAGTAATGCGACCAACTCGCTTATGGAAGGCGTGCTAAAAAAATATCTTTTTATAGTTTACTTTTTATGTTATATATATAATAACAATAATAATAAATATAATAAAACATAATAATATATATATATATAATAAATATTTATAATAAAAAGATAAACTCTGGAACTTGAATATTTCGAATCGGCACAGCATCCGGCTCAGTGATGACCGAGAAAGCTTATAATTACGAATATATAATAATAATGTTATAAAAAATAATAAAGAAATGTAGTGAAATAAGAATATATAATAATAAAAATAAATGTAAATAAAACTATAAGTAATAACAATACTAATGATAGACATGGAATATAAATAAACAAATATAAAAATAAATTATATTTTAACTAATAAAAAACCACGGCGGACTCAGAGGAAACCATATAGTTATACTGCGCGCAATCGGACACAAGAAGCGCGAGGGTCGTTGGGTTTCCGAAGCGCGCAGCATGAGGAAACGATGAAGAATGCTTCCTTAAAAGTAGTTATATTAAAAGTAAAAGTTTAATGTGAGGTATAATGACCACTAATAAATATCACTTTTACTACTAACAAGGTTATAAAACATTTATATCTAATGTAATTTAAAAAAGAATATTGAAGATGTTTAACAAGTGAATAATTAATAAGCGTGTTTCATATTAAAAAGGAACCAAAAAAATTATTTGATCATTTATAAAATAAACCAATCAAATAATAAAAAGTAAAATTATGAAAATAACAAGAACCAATGCTTTCCGACTCAATACGATAAAGTTTCGCCAATGCGTGAACAAACCGGCGTTTCACGGCATTAATGGAAAGTAGAGAGCGAGCAACTATGTAAAATAATATTTTATTATTAGCAAAGCAATTATCATATAATATCCCTCTCAATACTTTTAATGCGCTAAAATATATAGAAAAATATAACAATGCATAATATCCCACTAAAAATTAAGAAGAACTAAGAAAGTATACTTAATAAATAAAATGTAAAAAACTTTTCAGGTTTCTTAAAAAATTTCTAACCGGAGTGCCAATCCCTACAGATTTTTATATAACTTTTCAGCGACATGAATGGCTAACTGGCAGTCAAGGTGTTCAACTTTGTATAATAATTGGTACTATTGAACAGCTTACCACAAATTAATTTTGAGCGCAAATTGTATTTACCAAAAAAATTACACCAAAAAGTGATTAAGTTTTAGTCACATGCTTTCGTTTTATTAATATGTAAAAGCGTTTATTAGCATAAAAATAATAATCATAATTTTTGATTTTGTTCGCCAATAAAATCTCATATAAAATACATTTTTCGCCAACGGATATACCTTTTTGTCACTGATTGCAGAAAAGTTTAACCAATTCTCTTAAGTAAAGTTCAATTTTCTTAACATAAGCTAAGTTTTTTTTAGCATAAGATAACAGTTCTAATGAGAAAGTCGGTCTATCAAACGGTAATAATTATTATAGTAATTAGTAAAAAAATAAATAAATAAAAACCTTATAGCAGTAACAAGGGCGCCCCATTTGCGCCAAACGCAGCGTTCTAACACTCGTTTCTTTCCTTTTTTCACAATCCTGATCGCACGCAAGAAA